AGCAATACAGAGTGCCTAGAAACCTCTAGGTCACAGATCTCAGATTTGCGGCGTACCTTGCAGTGCCTGGAGATCGAGCTCCAGTCTCAAATCAGCATGGTGAGGAAATCATCTGTTTGTTAGAATACACAGGCGCATTAGATGGACTAGCCTGACAAATATAAACATTTTGTGTGATTTGAGCTCAAAGGTTGGAATACACTACACGATTTTTATAATCTAAACAGATTTTAAAACACTAGGTCATCATACACTTGCCAACTTTGTAAATGGTTACTTATTAATTACTTATGAATTAATATAATGAGTTTTCTTTCCGCCTCTTTACCCACACAGAAAAGAGCACTGGAGTGCTCACTGTTGGAAACAGAGGCTAGGTACAGCACTATGCTAGCAGGTTTCCAGAAACATATCAACACATATGAGGCAGAGCTTTGTCAGGTGCGCAGTGGCATTGAGCAGCAGGGCAGAGACTATGCTGCTCTCCTGGACATCAAGAGCCGTCTGGAGCAGGAGATCGCCACCTACAGGTGTCTCCTGGAAAAGCAGGACATTAAGTAAGTGCATCTTTTCATTTAGTGTTGGGTGCTTGAAAATGGCATTATGCATTATGTTTTTCTGAAATGACTCCACTAATGCACTAATCTTTCCCCCCCCCCTTATAGGACTCAAGAACAGGGTAATTCAAATATCTCTTTATGCAGTATATTGTGGTTGTGTTTGGGTCAGCTTCAGGATGCATGTTATTCATTAATCTCTTTTTCTCTCCCTTTCAGGTGGGGTATTTGTGTGTGTGACACCAGCTGACACAATGTTCAAATGTACACAAGTTATATGAACAATGTTAAATGTAAACAAAGAATCTAATGGAGGGTCCTTGTAGTGCAATTGTATTAAACACTCTGTAGTGACTGTCTAACAACTCACCATTAAAGATTGATTGAGAAACATGTCTTGTATATCTTATTTATTCAGGAATTTTGGGCATCTGCAAAGACTGGATTTTGACTGTTTATGAGTACATTAAACTTTTTAACAACTATTGATATTCTGACTATGAGAGTCATTATGCAAGATTTTGCATAACTTTAACTCTGTAGAATCCATAAATCAATGATAGAACACCACCTGAGATTATGATTTAGATGAATTATAGATATTTTGTTGGTGGTGGTGGTGTTGTTTTTAAAATAAAGTGTAAATGATATTTGCACATGATTTGAAAATGTCGATAGGTTACAGTAACAGTGTAAGCTTTTAATAACTTTATTAAGGCAGTTTATTAGTTATGTATTAATACTATTAATAATATTTGCATGTTTCAGTGATAGATACAGTTTACATGTGAGTATAAACAGAACCTTGGAAATATCCTCTGTGTTTCAGAAAAGCCGCACTAAAGTGAAGTTTACAGATTTAACATTTTAAATGGATATTCACCTTAAAATGAAAATTCTGTCATTATGTACTCACCTTTTGTGGAACATAAGATATTTTGAAGAATGATTGTTGAATGGGCTGAGTTGTGGACTGCCACTAACCTGCCACACATGACTATAGCAGGTTATGTGTGTTTTTCCAAGTAAAATCCAAATGTTAACTAAAAATTAACATATGGTGTGCCATAGCCAAGCCACATATGGCTCTCAATTATGTGCTGTCATCTGGACCATATACCTCAAAACAAATAGGCTAGTCATCCAAATGAAAATTCCCTCCAATTCTAAAGCCATGGCAAAACATATATGGTGAAAGTTTGGCCCATATGTGCTCAGCCATGCCATACCTAGGCCAAATGTGACAGCTATCAGCAACATTTGGCCCAAAAGTTCTTGCTATCTGGGTTGGTAACCAAACAGTTTTGGTTACCATAGACTTCCATTGTATGAACAAAAACATTTCTCACATGATCTCATTTTATGTTCAAATGAAGAAAGAAAGTCATACAGGTTTGAACTGACATAAGGGAAAGGATATGAAGACAGAATTTTTATTTTTGGGTGAACTATTCATTTAAAGCGTGACAACGCAAATATTTTGACAAGAACATTGCACCTAAAACATTTTAGGCCTGTCTTAAATAGGTTGAATTCATATACAGCTGATTTTTGACCCCATTAATAAGTCACATGATGCTGGTCAAACATAAAAGACTGAGTCTCGCTGTATTACCGATGAAGTAGGTGTCTGACTTGAAGCAGCACTGCACAGACCATTCTGTGTATGACAGCAAAGTACTGCGAGAGCAATTAGGGGGCATTTTTTTTGCTGGTTTGCTTTTTTTTTTTTTTTTTGAAGCAGTGTTGCTGTTGTAAAGTTATACAGCTACAGTTGTGTTGCTGGGTTTTAAAGCAGGTCTGTATTTACAGCATATTGTCCACTTGGTTCAAATGTGGATGAATATCTACACGTAGATGTGTGCTCATGCTGCCAGAGCTGTAAGATCGCTATAAGATCACTACCATGCTGCTTTTGTGGAAGTGTTTTTTTTTTCGTTAACCCACTTGTTTCATTTCTATATGTTTTTAACATTCTAAAAGCTCTTTATTCCAAAGATACTACAAGCTAGTCCGTGTATTCAGTAGCTGTAATATATTGTAAGTTGCTTCAGAGGCATAAGGTTGCAAGTATTACAACAATAATAAAACAGTGCATTGACAAGCAAGTGCAGTGTCCAGATTAAGCAAGTATTTTGCAGGATTGTTTTTTACACTGGCTTTAAATTTAATTGTATTAGTTTGATCTTTCTTTCCTTTTTCTATAATCATTTTAAATAGTAAGTGAAACCTATATATTACATACGACTGAATTATAATTAATGATGATTCAGTGTGCAGACACTGGGCCTGCTCAGTCAAGAGATATTTAAAATATTTTACAGTCAGTGGTTAAAACATTTATGATTTAAAATGTGAAACAGCGCCTCCGTCTGGTCAAGAAATGCAGACGCTGCATACGAACAGAAATATCACATATCTTCCTGAGAGAGGCGATATAGTACCAATCATTTGACATGACATACAGTAGTGTCCCTAATGTTAACAAACAAGTGCAACTCCGCAAATGGCACTGCTGAAAAGATAAACAAAAAATTTAAATGGTTACAAATTTGAAAGTGAGACAACGCGATTATCTGGAGTTGAAAAGAGTGAAATGATTTTATTATTATTGAATTTTTAATCATATTATTCATCTCTAAATGTTTCTTCACTGTCATCATGCGGATACAAACGCAAAAGTCTGGGTCTCGCTCAGGCTGCGCTGCAGTGTCTATTCACAGGTGCGATCCCACTACTGATCGACACAGGGGCTTTGACCTGCTCCGTCTCCGACCTGGGCCGGTTCACCCCTCCTTAGACGACCTGGTGGTCCCGAGCTCCCCCAGGAGCACCATATCGATCCCGGACTTAGCGCGGACACCCGATCGACATAGTCCACTGCAGCCCAGAAGAAGCCCTGAACTCAAGCGATCCGCCAGCCTCAGCCTCCCGGTAGCTTGGATTACAGGTATGGGATTACATTTATGCCACATTTCTGCGCGCGAAAGATCATATTTTGAGCGCACAAAAGTGCATTTTGCACGCGCGCGCTATCTGAGTTTTGTGGAGAAAACGTTCGTTTCGCAAATAAAAAAGTATTTCGAGCGCACGAAAATCAATTTTGCATTTAAAATAAGTTTTTGGATATGTGCAGACCTTCTCTTTTGCAACGCACTTTTGCGCGCTCAAAATATGATCTTTAGCGCGCAGAATTGCGGCAGAAATGTAATCCCATATACAGGCGCCGCCACTGAACCCGGCGAGAGCCAAGAGTATCAGCGCTGCTGCTCAACCTGCTGCTCACAGCGCCCTCTAGTGCAGATAAACCGATTATTATGCTTTGGCGATGGAATTGAAATATGCACATTTCTTTGTAAGAAAAATAGTTCGTTAATATTTGTTTATTAATTACAAAAACTGTCTGTTGTTGCTGAGAAACTGATGAAACTACCGTACAAGAATACCAAACTTTAGTAATCAGCAGTATAGTTATGCCTATATGCTGTAAGAATGTTTACAATAGATAATGTGAGAAGAGGAAGAGTGTCAAAGATAAGATGGTGGTGTCGAGCCTGAAAAGTTTTGAAAACCAGGTTTTAGATATACATGAGTATAAAAGCAGTGTAGCTTAATAAGCAGTATATAGTAGTCAACATTTGAAGTGGATCAAAACCTTTCATCAAAATTGTCCTAAAACCTAAAACCAAAATGCGTTCTTGTCTTAGGACAACTTTGATTAACTTTTTTGATACACTTCAAATGTTGACTAGTACTGTATACTTATTAAAGGTTTATTTCAATATAAGAAAAGTGTGTTCAGAACAATTCAAAGTTTGTATGACACTTGAATGTGTAGTAAAAATTCAGTTGTTACATACTATGCGTGAGCTCTATCCATTTCAGTATACATACATATTACTGTAAATGTGCCAGCATTCAACACATGAAACTGTTTACACATGATCGCTAAATGGAAAAATGCAGTGAATGCTTGGAAAACTATGGCAAAGACTGTGTTAAGGCATATGTTTTCTTTCACATTGTGATAGAAGCAAAAAAACATGTGAACATGAAAAAATAACAAAACAGACACCAAAATATTGGGACTGAAATTTAATATGGAATGCACACAATAAATCTCCAAGTGAGCCACTCAATGATTGTCTTACAGTTAATGGTAAATTTAAAAAATGATGTATTTAAATCTGCACTTTAAATAGGACACTTAATTGCATTCATTGTTTACACTGCCCTCCTGCAGGGTAGAAAAACATTTACTTTTATATATTCTCCATATATTCATAGAGAGAGAGAGAGAGTAAATATAGAGAGTGATGACCTTTTTAGGACCTAGAAATGAAAAAAAGAAAATATACAAATAACATAAATTATATAACATAAAAGATTATACAATATTATAGACCTACTATCTGTGGCACTGTTATCAATGAAAAGATGCACTTACTTAATGTCCTGCTTTTCCAGGAGACACCTGTAGGTGGCGATCTCCTGCTCCAGACGGCTCTTGATGTCCAGGAGAGCAGCATAGTCTCTGCCCTGCTGCTCAATGCCACTGCGCACCTGACAAAGCTCTGCCTCATATGTGTTGATATGTTTCTGGAAACCTGCTAGCATAGTGCTGTACCTAGCCTCTGTTTCCAACAGTGAGCACTCCAGTGCTCCTTTCTGTGTGGGTAAAGAGAGCAGTTAATGAATAAAACAACATCAAATCAGGTTTAGGTTTACCTCAGATAACAGCTAGCTAAAAATTGCTCATATCTAAAGATCAATGCTGAAAACTTGTGCTTTAGAATAGATACTGACTCAATTCACTTTGCCTCAACTTATTTTTGGAAGTCACGGATTAACACATCCAGCTATCAGTTAACATTAGTTAACCCTTTGTTAACTTTCAGACAATGTATTACCAAAACTCTTTTCACTGCCTCTCACAATCCTTTTCTATTTTTTTACTTTTTGTCCATCACATCCTGTGTTTACTGCATCTCACCATGCTGATTTGAGACTGTAGCTCGATCTCTAGACTCTGCAAAGTGCGTCGCAAATCTGAGATTTTTGATATGGAGGTTTCTAGGCCCTCTGTGTTGGTGGCAGCATCTTTACACAGATCTGCCATCTTAAAGAGAGTCACAAACAGACACATCATGTGAGCTATTCAACTCACGAGTCACTGAGCTATATGATTTTACATGCATTAATACCAGACAGACAGAAATCTCACCTTCTCTTTGAACCAGCACTCCTGTTCTCTGCAATGTTTGTCTATGATGGTCTCGTAATGACAACGAATGTCATCCAAAACCTTGTTCAGGTCTTGCTGAGGAGCAGCATCCACTTCCACACACACTTTTTTGTCTGTCAGCTGACACAGTAGTGCTGCCACATCCTATAAACACACATGACTCAAGCATTATGGCTTAGGAAACTATTGCTGTTCTTAATCTTCATTCAGAACATTCAAAATTAAAAAAATAAATAAATGATTGTGCTACAAACCTCCTGGTGAGTTTTCTTCAAATACACCAGCTCCTCCTGCAGAGCGCAGATCTGTGTCTCCAGGTCTGGTTTTGCCAGGCATGTCTTCTCAAGTATGCAACGCAGGTTATTAACGTCAGCTTTTACACACTGCCGTATCGTCGCCTCATTCTCATATCTGATTTGTGGAATGATCAGAGAAGAAAAAAAATCAATGTTTAAACTTGACTATGATCTATGTACAAGCAAAAAGCTATACAGACCCTAATCAAGTTAGATGTCATATTGAATTTTATGATAACAAAGCTGAAAGTGATGGACTTCAAAGTTTTTACAATGTAGGCTACACACTGTATAAAGGTCCTAGATCACGTAATTTCACAACTTTTAAAACAAAAAGACATTTCATCAGATAACCAATCAGTGTACATAGCTAAACATCTGTATATGTATGTACATACATACTTTTGCTTCCATGCATTTGTGTTTATATATTTGCCAGCCAAAGGCTGATTGACTAAACTGTTCCATAATATTGATCATATTCATAATTTGTTTGTAAAAAAAATTGCATTCCTTACGGTGGAATTTTTTTTTTCTAAAAAGGGACATAATGAGACCTTACTATTGATAGACAGAATTTGGTTTGTTAACCCAAATTTATGAAAACGTTTGTAAATGTCAAATGGTCCAAAAGAACTAGATGATAAATTGCCTTTATAGAACTCACTTTATCTTGAAGTCCTCAGCAGCCAGTTTAGTGTTGTCGATCTGCAGAAGGATTTTGCCATTGTTGACAGTAGCATCTTTAATCTATAATGAAGATCATTGACAAATAAAACTATAAATGTAGATCATATATAATAAAACAAGTATTTTTGTAGTTTATATTTGTAGTAGTATATTTTGTTCACAGTAAAGTAATTTTTTACTAATCTTTCATTTTGTACCTTTTCCTGAAGGCAATCGATGGTCTTGAAGTAGCAGCTGTAGTCCCTCTGGCAGATCAGCCCCTTCTTTTCATAGTACTCCCGGATCTGCTTCTCCAGAGTAGCATTGGCAGCCTCCAGAAAGTGCACCTTATCTAGGTATGAAGCCAGACGGTCATTCAAGTCTTGCATGGTGGCCTTCTCGCTCTTCTGGAGGTAGTCATAACACCCTCCAGTCATGATTCTTGCGCCAAATCTTCCACCTTGTCCACTATGACATCCGTATCCTACGTCAGTTTTGTATGGTGGACAAGGGGAGCAAGCATTCGAACGATAAGAGCAGGTAGAGATGCGGGTCTTTTCTCCAAAACCACAGCCATAGACACTGTAAGCTTTAGGTGCAACTGTACCACAACGACGAGGACCGATTATGGACTTTGAAGTCATGGAGAAAGAGCTGAAGGAGGACTTGGGGTTAGAGACAGAGCAGGGCTTGGGGCAGGTCTCAGAGGAAGTCTTCACACAGGTATCGGAGCATGTCTTGGGACAGGTCTCGGAGCAGGAGCAAGTCTTCACACAGGTATCAGAGCAGGTTTTGGGGAAGGTGAATGAGCAAGTCTCGGAGCAGGTCTCAGAACAAGTCTTCACACAGGTATCAGAGCAGGTTTTGGGGAAGGTGAAGGAGCAAGTCTCGGAGCAGGTCTCAGAACAAGTCTTCACACAGGTATCAGAGCAGGTTTTGGGGAAGGTGAAGGAGCAAGTCTCGGAGCAGGTCTCAGAACAAGTCTTCACACAGGTATCAGAGCAGGTTTTGGGGAAGGTGAAGGAGCAAGTCTCGGAGCAGGTCTCAGAGCAGGAACAAGTCTTCACACAGGTATCAGAGCAGGTTTTGGGGAAGGTGAAGGAGCAAGTCTCGGAGCAGGTCTCAGAGCAGGAACAAGTCTTCACACAGGTATCAGAGCAGGTTTTGGGGAAGGTGAAGGAGCAGGTCTCGGAGCAGGTCTCAGAGCAGGAGCAAGTCTTCACACAGGTATCGGAGCAGGTCTCGGGGAAGGTGAAGGAGCATGTCTTGGGGCAGGTCTCGGAGCAGGTCTCTGGGCAGCTTTTGGAGCAGGTCTCAGAGCAGGTCTTGGGGAAGGTGAAGGAGCAGGACTTTGGGCAGGTTTTGAAGGATGACATGGTGGATGGATGCAGAGATGGATGAACGCAAAAGTGGAAGATACAAAATAAAATGCTCAAATTGTCCTGAAGCGTATGGTGCCTTTGAAGCCAGCTCTGTCATCTTATATAGTTGGAGCTTTAGGGTGGGTTCTACAATTTGACAAAGGGTGTGTGTGTGTGTGCGTGTGTGTGTGAGTGTGTGTCACCACCAGTAGTATTAGAACTCAAGAACCAGAGTATTCCACCCTAATGAGGAAGCTGCAAAAGAATTTATGTGTGTGTATATATATTTCTGAATAAAAGTTGGTGTCTAACTGGACAAAGCAGACAATTATGAGTAAGTTTTAACAATTTAGACTTTTAAAGACAGCACAAATAGCAAAGTGCGGGTGGCGTTTCAATTATACACATGACTCAAAGGTCACTTAATAGACTAATGCCTTCACAACAAAGACAGACTTAAGCACAAGATCAGAAAGGCCTATTAAAATAATTTAAAGATAAAATATGGTCATTTTGAAATTACTGCTATTATTTTTCCCCATACATCATTGGGGTCTCTTGGGCCCAAAACATAAAACAGTCAACACATAAATCAGAAAATGAGGCTTAAATTTCTGATTTATCCTTGGATATTTAAACCTGCGCCATTCAAAAAGTCTTTCAGACTTCTTGAGGGATCTTTTTTTTCACAGATTTATCCTTAGAATTTAAACTTATAAAATATAAAGTCTTATGGGAAACTTCAAGACTTCAATCAGCTTATGTCATCAAAATCATCAAGCAAGCAGGTCACTTTTAAGATAAAAGCAATAATAGATAGACAGACAGACAGAAAGATTAGATAGATAGATAGATAGATAGCTTTTTCTTTCTTTTTTAATTCTTTCTGTTTTTCTAAACACTCAAGAATGACACCACGTGTTTGATTGTTCAAGTTTGCTATGCCCTATTCAAGTTACAAGACATAATAAAACCTTGCAGTCTGAGTGTTACAAAACTCTATTTTTTAAATGTATAATGACCATCAGTTGTCCAAATTTCCCAGTTTTAACATGTTAAAAGAACTCATTGGGTGTTACAAAAATTTAAAATTACAAATAACTGTTAGACAAGAAACAGTCTGCTGAAACTGCTAGAATGTTATGGGGACCCTATTGCATTATTTCATTATCACATATGGATTTATTTGCTTGCAACACTATTTTCTTCAAGTCAGGTGGATTCATAATTTCCAGAAAGAAAAATACCTAGAACATGAGTGTCAGTGTGTGGCCAGCCTGACAAAGCACTAATTGGCTACTTAATGACAGTTCAATCATTTAGCTGGTTTAGAGAAAGGCATGAAAAGCATGTTATAAGTAATAACATGACTTAATAGAACCATATGTGTAATTTTATGTGCAATAATTATATTCTTTTTAAAAGACTGTGTGAGAGTAGCCTAAAACGTGATTAGGAGCTAGACTCACCTGTTAATGGTGATGCATGTCTCTCACATACCATAAAAAGGCATAAGACAAAGGCAAATACATTTCTGTTCAATCTGTCACAGTCTCGGAGGAAAAGCATTGTGCATACTCCTCTTTTAAAAACACTCACATTTCTAATAATGCTCTGGCCTATAGGCCTATATTACAAACATATAATAATCAAAACTCATTGAAAATCTATGAAGATCTCAATAGAGAAATAGATCTTCTCAGATTTTCAGAGTCAAGACTGCTATTTCTATGAATACTGGACTAGGCTAATAATAATGCCAATTGAAAACAACTCTGCAAAGAGGGCTGTATTACAACTTTGATAGCCAATGTGAATTTAAAATAACATGTGGCAACCATACAGTCTATGCTGGCCACTTACAGGTCAAGTCGCCTGTACTCATAAGCCTGTATATTGGACTGCCTTTTGGAAACTACTCAAAGGCCTAAACAACGTGATAAGAGCACAAATCTTCACACATCTTATCAAAAACAACACATAAGAGTAATGTGCAGAAGTGTTCAGTTTTATGTTCCATATTTCCATTTATACTCACTCTGTCCCATGGTATAGTAATTTAAATACGTTGTCTAGTGAATTATGTCTAAATAAAAACTATAAAGTGTTTGATGCATAGATCACATATGAAGGTTATGAATATGTATTATTCTCCAGAGACACACATTCACACACATAGCGTCTTCGTCTTCTGTGTTTATTTTAAACTGGCGTGTCTCTGTTATATACCCACGTTCATATATTTAAAATTGGGATTTAAAAAAAAAAAAGATTTTGTCAGAATCGAGCGGCAACCTCCCGCTCTCTCTCGTGAAGCCAACAAGGAAGTGACTTAAACTGTAATTCATCAACTGGGCACTCCCCATGTTAAAATGCCCAAATTTACAGCAGAAAAAAACATGTTTACAGCCTGGTTCAAAAAATGATTTTGGTCTATATAGCTAATTTTGCCCTTCATGACAACTGTGAGGGGGGTGAATTTTTTTATAACTCATCCGTTTAAATTATATTAAGCCTTAAAGTTCTGCATAATTAAGGGCGTGGCCACTTGAGTGACAGGTGGATTGCCGCTGCTGTCACCACCGTCGAGCTAGGTGGGTGTGGTTTCAGCAACCTGCTCCCGCCTCTTTGCCCATTTTCGATTATCCGGGAGTGACGCGCGGTGACGCGCTGCCAAGATGGCGACGGCTGGCTCCGCCTACTTTAGGCCTCAAAACGCTCGTCGGAAGTCAACGGGTTACGTCACGGACACTACGTCCATGTTTTTATACAGTCTATGGCAACAACAAACAACACACGAGAATATAAATAAGTCTTGAATCCCAAATAAGTTTAAATGCATTAAAGACCTGGTTAAAAATAAAAATAAAAAAACCTCGTCATATCAGGTGAGACAAAATATGACCAGCAGCTAAGAAATGTTTCACAAAATCAACAACAAATAATGACATTGTCTCACTTTTTTTTCAGCAGTGCCATTTGCGGCGTTGCACGTGTTTGTTAACATTAGGGACACTACTGTATGTCATGTCAAATGATTGGTACTATATCGCCTCTCTCTGGAAGATATGTGATTTTTCTGTTCGTATGCAGCGTCTGCATTTCTTGACCAGACGGAGGCGCTGTTTCACACTTTAAATCATAAATGTTTTAA